TAAAATTAACCCAATTTGAGAAAACTGGATCAATAAAACAACTTTTTTTTTCGCTGGGAAATCTGAAATTCCAATTTCGAAATAAGAAGCTGATCACACTTGTTCGGGACCTTAACATTTAGCTGTTCGATAGTGGAGTTTGAATCAAAATTTAGCGTGAACAATTTTAAGACTTTCGTTAAAAAAAAACTAAAAATATTCAAAACGAAGCGCAAATTTTGTATAGAAGGGTTATCTAAAATGCAGACATGCTTTAAATAGGTCTTTAAGTTGACGAAAGCACAGACTTGTATATGACCACCAATTTCAGTCAACCTGTGAACAATTCAAAACTGAAGAAAAAAAATTAGTACCAGGTTGCAATAGCGCAGTATTTATCGCAAGGGTAATGAAGCACGTAACATCTCACGCGCGAATTCTGTCAGCGAAAATGTTTATGGCAAACAAAACATAGAACGGTTACAATAATCTTGCTAATTAACAGGGGGTAGATTAAATTTTCCACATTTTAGGAACTAAAAAAAAACATACACATATCTGAAAACTGAAGAGAAAATTTCTTTTTTCTTATGAGAAAACAACTGAAAAATAAATCACATTTTACACTATGATTAAACGAACAACACAAAAAGAAAATTAGCAAACAGAACTTCGAATATTGTTAATAGTCAAGAAAGAAAAACGATGAAAAAAATTAAGAAACAAACAAGCATTTTTTCGTGTCTGATGTTATGTAAAATTTTCAAAGAGGTCCTAGTGGGGTTGAATTTTGGAGGTCAAAAATGTTTGTGAGGTATTGCAAGTTTAATGGACGTCGGCTTCAATTCTGTCGGCTTATTTGGGGATTAATTTCTTTAAGTGTAGTACTTTTTTGAGATCGACAAGACTCTGACACTAAAGTAATACACTTCAAGAAAAAAATGGCAATAAGCCGACAGAATTGAAGCCGACACTCAATAAGCTTGCAATACCACAAACAAGGTATGTAAAAAAAGGAGACAGAAATTGAGACGACAGCCGTTAAAAAAAACATTAAAAACAGAAAGTTGGACACAGAGGCGAAACTGCGCTTCCCAAATACAAGCAAAAAAAACGCAAAAAAGAGCTCAAAACAGGCTAAACAAAGTGAAATAAGAAGAAATTAAAAAGACACCTTGAAAAAAATCACGTTCTCACATGTAATCCACGGCCGTTCGTAATTTTACTAACACTAGAAACCAAACAAGCAGCTACAGTTTCTATCAAATTGCCAATTTTATAGAGCAAAAATTCGACCGAAAAAAAAATTATTCAAATGTTCCAGATTTGAAGATCCGACCTGTTGATTAGGAGTTTCAGATCCTCGCATTTGGGCCGCGGTCGCTTGGAAGTAAACTACTGACCCAGCTAAGCTAATGGCCTAGCGTTTCTCTGCTTGATTAGGGATTTAACCGCTTAATTAAAAAGGTAGAAACTACTCGCTTTTTCAATTGAAGTCTATCTCAGATATGGGTGTTTTAGAAAAAAATGAAAAGATTCCAAAAATCGATCAACGACTCAAAAATTTGACTTTTCCTAAATCCATAAACTTTTCTCGACTAAAGCAGGGAAACAGCCTCTGCTTTCCACACCCTGATTTTTAGGTTGAAGACTCCCGCAATTTTTAGTTTCAACCTTTAAAATCAGATTTCCCTAGTAGTTTTCGAGAATAGTCACGCATTTTCGAAAAAACCGGCAAATATTTATGGAATTTTCCAAAGTCCATATCAGCTTTTCTACAAAAAAAAAACAGGATAAAACAGATTATGCAGGGAAATATAAGCACCATGTCAGTTTTAATGAACGATCAACCACAGAATCAGCATGTTCAGTTTTTGAAAGAAAAAAAGACTAGCGAAATATGAAGGCACATAAAAGAGCAGTCGGTTTTTCCGTTAGTAATTTTTTTGAAAACCAGTAGTAGTTTTTGAGAAAAATTGAAAATTCAGCAAAAAATTTTCGAAAGCGTCGCAACAAGAAACGAAAATTAATAAATTCCATTCATGTTCATGTAGTCAAAACTAAAGCAGTAACAACCATTAAAAAGTTTATGCTTACACAGCTTAAATATGATTAAATTGAAATATACCAAAAATGCAACCGATTGGGTACTTTTACTTGCAGCTTAGGTTTAAAAAATCCTTCGTAATTGAACACTACGCTTCGCTTGTGTAGAAAGAGCCAATGAACTCAAGTAAACAGAAAAAAAACACTGAACTTTAAAAAAAATCAACTTTCAAACTTCAAAAAAATAGATGGATTTAAAGCTTTTTGAATTTCTACTAATGGCAGGAGTAAGAACACAATTACGTTTGACACTTTTCTGATGAGGCGAGCCCAATTTGAGAAAACTCGATCAATCGGTAAAAAATTTTATTTTGCTGGGAAATTCGATAATTAAATTCCACTTTTTGTGACCTTTACAGTTTTGCGGTTCGATACTTCCACGGTCGCTTGGAAGTAAACTAATGGCCCAGCTAAACTAGTGGCCTAGTGTTTCTCTGCTTAAGAAGGAGATTAGCCGCTTATTTAAAGAAGAAAACTACTAGCTCTTTCAATTGAAGTCTATCTCAGATTTGGCTGGGTATTTTAGACAAAAAATGAAAAGATTCCAAAAATCGATCAACAATTCAAAAAATTGACATTTTCTAAATCCATAAACTTTTCTCTCGACTAAAGCAGGGGAACAGCCTCTGCTTTCCACATCCTGATTTTTAGGTTGAATACGTCCGCAATTTTCTGATTCAACCCTTAAAACCAGATTTCCCATGTAGTTTTCGAGAATAGTCACGCAATTTCGAAAAAACGGCAAAAAATATGGAATTTTTCCAAAGTACATATCAGCTTTTCTTAAAAAAAAAACGGTAAAACAGATTATGCAGGGAAAGTATAAGCACCATGTCAGTTTTAACGAACGATCAACCACAGAATCAGCATGTTCAATTTTTGAAAAAAAGGAAGAAAAAGATAAGCGATACATGCAAGCACATAAAAGAGCAGTCGATTTCTCCGTTAGTAAATTTATTTGAAAACCAGTAGTAGTTTTTGAGAAAAAAAAATAAAATTTCGGCAAAAAAATTTCCAGAGCGTTGCAACAAGAAACGAAAAACAATAAATCCCAAATATGTTCATAAATCACGTTTTAATTTTCAAGCAGGACCTAACACTAGTCAAAACTAAAGCAGCAAAAAAGCCATTTAAATGTTTATGCTTACATCAGCTTAAATATGATTAAACTGAAAGATATCATAAGTGCAACCAAATGAGTACTTTAACTTGTAATTTAGTTTTAAAAAAATCTTCGTAATTATACACTATGCTTCGCTTGTGTAAAAAGAGCCATGAACTCAAATAAACAGAAAAAAAACACTGAGCTGTTTTTTAAAAAACCTGAACTTTCGAAATTCCAAGAGAAAAACAGATGGCCTTAAAGCTTTTTGAATTTTTATTAATGGCAGGAGTGAAAACAATTACTTTGGATTTTTTTTGATAAGCCAACCAAATTTGAGAAAACTGGATCAATAGGTAAAAATTTTATTTCACTGGGAAATTCGATAATTAAATTCCACTTTTTGTGACCTTTACAGTTTTGCGGTTCGATACTTCCACGGTCGCTTGGAAGTAAACTAATGGCCCAGCTAAACTAGTGGCCTAGTGTTTCTCTGCTTAAGAAGGAGATTAGCCGCTTATTTAAAGAAGAAAACTACTCGCTCTTTCAATTGAAGTCTATCTCAGATTTGGCTGGGTATTTTAGACAAAAAATGAAAAGATTTCAAAAATCGATCAACAATTCAAAAAATTGACTTTTTCTAAATCCATAAACTTTTCTCTCGACTAAAGCAGGGGAACAGCCTCTGCTTTCCACATCTTGATTTTTAGGTTGAATACGTCCGCAATTTTCTGATTCAACCCTTAAAATCAGATTTCTCATGTAGTTTTCGAGAATAGTCACGCAATTTCGAAAAAACGGCAAAAAATATGGAATTTTTCCAAAGTCCATATCAGCTTTTCTTCAAAAAAAAAAACGGTAAAACAGATTATGCAGCGAAAGTATAAGCACCATGTCAGTTTTAACGAACGATCAACCACAGAATCAGCATGTTCAATTTTTGAAAAAAAAGGAAGAAAAAGATTAGCGATACATGCAAGCACATAAAAGAGCAGTCGATTTCTCCGTTAGTAAATTTATTTGAAAACCAGTAGTAGTTTTTGAGAAAAAAAAAATTTCGGCAAAAAAATTTCCAGAGCGTTGCAACAAGAAACGAAAAACAATAATTCCCAAATATGTTCATAAATCATGTTTTAATTTTCAAGCAGGACCTAACACTAGTCAAAACTAAAGCAGCAAAAAAGCCATTTAAATGTTTATGCTTACATCAGCTTAAATATGATTAAACTGAAAGATACCATAAGTGCAACCAAATGAGTACTTTAACTTGTAATTTAGTTTTAAAAAAATCTTCGTAATTATACACTATGCTTCGCTTGTGTAAAAAGAGCCATGAACTCAAATAAACAGAAAAAAAACACTGAGCTGTTTTTTAAAAAACCTGAACTTTCGAATTTCCAAGAGAAAAACAGATGGCCTTAAAGCTTTTTGAATTTTTATTAATGGCAGGAGTAAAAACAATTACTTTGGTTTTTTTTGATAAGCCAACCAAATTTGAGAAAACTGGATCAATAGGTAAAAATTTTATTTCACTGGGAAATTCGATGATAATTAAATTTCACTTTCAAAACTATAAGTTGATCACGTTTTTTGTGACCTTTACGGTTTTGCTGTTCGATAATGGAGTTTGCCTTTCTTTTAACAATGGGACTGTACTGAACTTAAATAGAAATCAGACGGCAATTCGCGAAGCAAAAAATATCCACTTAACAAAAAAAACATCAATTTCAAGAGCAATTTATGATAGGCTATTTTTTGATAAAATCAACCAAATTGGGGAGAAAAAGAGATTACAGCTAGAAAACATCAAAACTTTCGGTCAAACATTTTAATTATGAATTATCAAACAACAAGCAGCCAGTTCATCAGTGTCACCATTCAGGTAAAGATTTGTCTCCAAACTTGGATGCTATCTCGCAGTCGATGGTTTGTAAGGGTATTGTGGGTCAACTGCTGTTATATACTTATCAGTCTCATACGGTGGCATCTTCTTTTGTTTCTTTCCTTCGCCCGAGTAGTCGAACGAGTAGCCGTGGGGTGTTCGTTTGGACGACGCAGTGTCTATTGGGTCTGGTCTGTGGAAGCGAACATAGTCTTTTGCCTTCACCATTGGCTTCCAGTTAGGGTCCACCGGACCACCTTCAGGTCTGAATCTCATAAGAGGAGAGTAGACGTGTTTCTTCCACCTACAGAAAAGCATAGTTCTAAGAGAATAGGCAACAGACAGTTGGAAAAAAACGCATGAGCTCAAGCATTACGAAGGCAAGCTCGGTTTTATACCAGAGCACAAATATGCACTGGCTCGCTTCTGAAATATAGACACATGGGTTCTATCATTTAATTTCATGTAATTACATGTTAAAATGTGTCGCAAAATTCCACAGACAATGACCATGGAATTCAAACCACAACCTAAGTATGATAATGATACTATCATCTTGGTTTTATTGCTAATACTGTATCTTGCCGTTAGTAATAAATTCTTACTTATCCCAGTCTTTTCTCACTTCGACCAAAACGTTGTTTTCTGCAGGGTGAATTAAAAATCTGTACTGCAGCTAAATATGGTGGTGGTGTTTTTCATTCAATCAGGGCTTTTTCAGGGGCTTCTATTTATAAAAGACTTTTTAAAGGAATTTTAACAAAGGGAACCCTAAGTACCTGAGCTTGGCCTCGCAATGAGGAATCTGTAACAAATTCACTGATTTTTCACCGGAAACTTTTGACCATTTAAAAAACACCAAAAAAAATTTCACTTCGCTCATTTACACGCATCGATGTCAAAAACGGACCATCAAAACTTTACCTCTGAAGGATGGTTGGAGATATTTTAAAACCATAGTCATAACCAATTGACCACATCGTCTGGTTCAAGCTTGATCTAAGCGATCTACACTAGCTTGGAGGTTGCTTCAATAATGAGATCCATAATACGAACGCAGTTAAAATTTATCTATCCCCTAAGACAAAACATAAAAACTAATCGTCGACAAAAAAACAAGGATAGCCGGTTACTGTGCAAGTAGCACAAAATGTTCCGACCATAGTCTTACAAAAATACAACAAAAAGCTTTTTCTAATTAGCGTCGTTTATTAGGCTCAGGCATATTCGACAATTATATTAATAACCAAATTGGAAAACAATTTTTGTAATGATAATTGTGGTTTCTTCGATTCGCAGAGGATCTATGAAAAGCTATCCAGCCTGTCTAAGCATAGTATGTTTCTCTTATTTCCCCACATTCCAGAACGAGTTTATGTGTTGAGCGAAGCTCTTTTTTTTGCGACTCAAGGCCGTTTTTTTGCGTCTAGAACTTTCAAATGGTACCACTATTGCAGCCGTAATCGGTCAGGCTGTGGTAGACCTGCAGCTAGAGGTCCAATGAGAGCTCGTCCTCACACACTATCTTTGCCATGGCAGGGGATCGATTACACGATCTCGAAGTGAACGCCTTACCACTATGCTTAGTGCCTTAGTTTTTGATTCGAAAAAAGGTGAAAAAAAACTTCAAAAAACTAACTTTGCTTGAGTTTATGCGGCTTAAATTAAGCTATTATAAGCTTTAAAGACATCAAAATAAACTATTTTAAGCTTGCTCGCTCGCTTTAATCGCTCGAATTAAGAAGAAAAATCTGAAATTTCAAACCTGTTTTTCTCGACACTGGAAAACTTTCTTGAAAGTTTTAAACGTCCTTCAACTTACGCCCGAAAGACTTTTAATATGATAGACTATATGATTACGCCCGAAAGACTCTCTCCGATGATTATTTGTGGAAGCTGATTTTGCGTGGAAAACAAAAAAAATAAAACACACCCGAATACAAAGTTCCTCTCCATTTTTTAATTAGTCGGAACAATAAATAGACCTTTCTGAGACGAGATACTCGTTAATTAGAATCGCTGAAGCGCTCATAATAAAGATCTACGCGCAAACTTATGATTGGTTGAAAATTTTCCTAACCTTCTGACAATTCTCGCAGATCATGGTAAGCGCAGCAAATACTCTGAACACAATCGCATCGCTCGCTTCTTATATGTAGATACTAACTTTCACAATCGCATCGCTCGCTTCTTATATGTAGATACTAACTTTCAGACACTCAAAATTTTCAGCATTAAAAAACAAGTCTTTCAATTTAATTTGCATTTCATTGAGAGTTCAATTCTTCCACTAATGGCGCAACGATATTTGATAAAAGGTCGGAAAAACAAAAAATTTTCGGATGCCCATTTAAACCGGTTCAAAATCTTAGTAGCTTATTTAAACATGCCATTCCATGTTCGCCACCTTTTACGTGTGTATTTAAGGGGATTATTTAGTTTTAAAATGCTAGGAACTGTTTCTTGCCCGCTTAAAATCAATTGTCGATTCAATTCACCCATCAAAAGCATTGAATTGTTTTTTTTTCAGTTTCAGCGAAATCAATTAAAACTAAACACAATGACGAAAAAGGAAAGCCTTGGAAAGAAGGACAGGAAAAGAATTAAAAGCTATAGGAAATAGTTTTGCCTGGTTTGAACATTCTTCGCATATAGAAATCAGTATCTTGCGGATAAATAATATTTTATGCGAACAAGGATGCACAAATAATCCTCAAGCAACATGCATATCTAGGGTGGTAAATAGCTATGCATATCAAGCAACATGCATAGCTATTTATCTAGGGTGGTACGAATTTAGGCTAGCTTTAAATCTACTAGCCTTCATCTAAAAATTAAGGCTAGTATAGCAAACCAACCTCTATAATCAAGCCATAACTTGAAGTGAACTTCAAAAAAAGGAACTTCAATCCTAGGTCTTCAAGTTCAAGGCCTAAAAAAATGTTAGAAAAAGTTTTCTACTTGAAAAAGATAATGGGGGAAAAACTGTTAGAATTCTTTTGCTCAAAGCTTCAAACTAAAAACCGACCTTAGTTCGGAATATGGAGCAATGTACTTCTCTCCCTTTGATATTTTCCTCAGTAGAATTTCCATTCCCCTCCTCCCTGTGGCTATTCTCTTGTGGATCGAGTAGCCATTGTACCTCGTGATGGCACTAGCAGTCGAGGGTCTCCATTTATGACTCCTGCAATTGGAGATGATCATTCAAAGTAGTGTCTGATGATGTTTTAAAATTTTTAGCTTTGATATTGAAATCAATAACTTAAGTCAACTTGCAGGTTCTCGTCCGGAACATTTTAAGGATGATATAGATCCCACAAAATTTTCTTTTCAAATAGTCGGTAATTCTGACATTTGAAGCGTCTAGTTAAACATTCCCGATGCTATTAAAGGTAATATATGTTAGGTTTCTAATTAGTTTAAAAATTACCTAAAATGTCCGATATCATGTGGTTGTCGTGAGAAGCCGAGACAATTAGTTCCTGTTCCTCCTCGGAGTGAATTTGATAGACAATTATTAACAGACGAGGTTATTATTGATTGCCGAACTTTTGAAACAACGCCGCGCGTGTTGTGAAAAATCGGGGAGAAGAAACCACCGCCACCTCCGATCATCAAATCTACAAAATTATATCATTCAACCCTAGCGAAAAAAGTTCTATGAACAGTGGTTAATAATTTAGCAAATGTGACCTGAGAGTCTTACTCTCAATGCATCATGAAAATAAACATCGGAACAAGCTGATCGGAAACAAGACGATTAGAACCACATAAACTATCAAATAATAATAATAATAATAAAAATAATAATAATAATCATAATAATAATAATAATAATCATAATCATAATAATAATAATAATAAAAAATAATCATAATAATAATAATATAATCATAATAATCATAATAATAATGAAAATAATCATAACAAATTGTTTTCAGTATAGATTCACATTGATCGATATATATTACATAAAAGATCACTTTAAAAACCCAGTCTTGAAGAACCTCATTAGACAAATGATGCCTGTCTTCAGACGTCTCTGAGCGCAAAAGAGTTATGAATTGAGATGGTAGTATAATAACGCCATTAATTTTTGTTACGATACTGTGATTGTTATGATCAATGTGATCTTTGAATTCCAGTATCTAGATACAAACCCAGATATTTGACAACCGACTTTTGCTCTACGTCTTCCTTGTTCTTTTTAATAGAGTAGTTATTCTTTTCATTCCATTTTGTAAACCTAACTGTATTGGATTTATCTAATTTCAAAGTCAGTTTGCTTTCGTCTGAACGTTCTTTTTTTTTCAACGAATTCATGGTTTTCAATCAGTATAGATTTTTAAGAATGAGTTTTAACCGCTCTATCATCGGATATATGATTTGTGTTTTCATTCAATTTCGGTATATCACTAATCACAGAAAAAAAAGTAGTGACCTTAGAGTTAAGCCCTTCCGGATTCCGCAATATATTTTTGACTTTTCAATTTGATTCTGTTGATTCTAACACACTGCTTACGCTTTGATATATATCAAACTAGAATATCATATGCTGGTCCTCATATACAGTTGTCATAACTAATCATATCATAACAAACAGTCAAGAAACTGTGTTTTTTGGCCATAAATTATTTAAATGATTAATAACGGCAAAGCTGACAGTACAAGGAGTATTCCTAGAACCAATTTTTTCCATAACCCTTAATACCAAAAATGAGGTGATATTTTAATGAAAAAAGTTGAATAATCTCAACACAGAGGCGAAGTTGAGCTTTGCACGACTTGCGATACAAAAACTATTGAATATGATTACAAGCAAATGAAAAGACAAATAAAAATTTGAAATAAAAATCTTCATATGAAATCGTTTTTTTTTTAGTTAAAAAAAGTATATAAAAATTCTATAAAGCAAATAGTAGAAAAAAATCTAGCAAAAAATTACCTGCGCCATTATAAACATTAAAAAGAGCTTTCAAAAGGCTTAAAAGAAACCGAACAACAACCAAAATAAGCAGACACGAAAGTCTAAAATGGTTAACAATGTTCAGTTGGCACAAAAAAAACAGGTCCCGACGGATATCGAACTGCCAATATTTTTCGCCTCGTTACCACAGCACCAAATGTACAGAGCACTCCTTGAATTTCTAATGAAAAATTCCATATCTTTTAAAAAATAAAATGAAAAAAATATTGGATAGCAAAAGAAAATCGACTTCTTTGCACTTAATTACTTGTCCAAAACCGAAAAACACTGGAATCATTTTCAATATAAGTGAAAACCGCCTAAATGTTAAAAAAACTTGGTGCTGCGGCAACTAAGCCGACACCGCATAAGCAGAAAAACAGCAGTACGATAAAAAAAATTTGACGCGCGGATAATTTTTTGTTTACAACAAAACATGCCCTAGTCGAATTCAAACTATTGACCTGTGTCTATATAGACAGATACGTTGAGTGAATTAACGTCTGACATTCGATTTGAAATGAACCAAAGGTAAAATGATTCACAAAAAAGTCTATATTCCGATTTGATAACGCCTGCTAATGGCAAGCGCTTAAAAGCCTTATTTGAGGCCAAAAAATTTCTAGAAAAACTGATGCGTAGCACCTTATACAGAAGAGATCCCCGCCCTTTTAGCGGGGTAGTCTCTGAGGAAAAAAAACAAGAAAATGAATAACATTCCCTCATTGAAACTTTTAAGGCCGTTAGAGGTGGAAATACGATAAAAAAATACACAAAATTCTTATCACACAAAATTCTTATCGGTCTTTCTATTGGTACAATTTATTTGAATAACGGTGCAGTATTTGTCGGGAAAATAAAAATTTCAGCGTAAAAACACAAAATTTTCCAAAGGGTCAGAAAACAAAAAAAAATGTAACCGCATATTTTTTCATTCAACCTGATTTTTTCAAGCTTGAACTGTTGTGTCCTCAAAACTACGCAATAATATCTGACCAAGAAAACTAGCTACAGACGTTCAATCAGATTTGGTAAAATGACAAACTTCAGAATTTTCAATTGTGCTTAAAAATTTTACAATAAAAAATCCAGGCTTTACAAAGTGAGCCGAAAAATCAGTACCAGATGATAAAGCTGCCATTTACAAATCGGAAACTGGACCGACAAAAACCAGGATGAAAACCAAAATCGGAAAAAATTCAATGTTTTCAAGAAATATATTTTAAGAAAAAACTTACTGCTCGAAACGGACTTCACCTATTCACTAACTAAATGAAGATAATTTTGTTTGAAGTTTCAAGAAACTGTACATGCCTTCAAACTGAACAAATGTATTGACAGAAAAAAGTCTAGTATCCGATTGCAATAACCTTGCTTATCGCAAGGTATGTATAACACCAGACGCCTGTGAAGGCTTGTAAATAGCGCCAGTTCGTCTTCAACACCGTTTTTAGCCCCGAAAAGTAATAGTTTTGTTCCAGGTTTTGCGCACACTGTCAAAAGCTGAAAATAATCTGTTTTTGAACAAAATTTCCTAATTCAAAAATGAATTATATACTAGAAATATTGATTAAAGAAACATTGAGTAAAAATATATTTCAATAAGCATTTTTCATCTAACTTATCAGACGAAATCTCAAACTTATGGTAGCATGCTGCTAGGGTACTCTTATGGTAGCATGCTGCTAGGGTACATGCATTTGGTTTAGAAGGTATGACCTTTTTTTCTGATTTTTTTTCCACGATTTTCAAAAAACTTCATACATTTTTTTAATGAGCTGGTTTGTCTGATAAATAGCAGCAAAAGATTCTCATCGGTGCTAATGAATCGAAGTATTACTTTGAAATTATTTTAAAAAATTTTTCATTACAACTGTATTCAGGGTAGACGTCGGGCATTCCTGAGGCCCGACGTCTATCCCCTCCATTCATTAATTAGTTTTGATTAAATTTCTTCACTGCCCTTTATTTGTGATTTTTGGAGAAATATATTCTTACAATTCAAATTTAAATGGACTGACTGACCACTTCATAAACTAGTTAATATTTTTTAACATGCTGTCAAAAATTGAAGAAAGCTTCAAAAACACCAAATTTTTATTAAAAACCCAAACAAACGTCATATTTGAGCCCTTCTCGATATAATTCTGTTTTCTGCAAAAAAGAGAGCCGCACTGCAAAAACAAGCAAAAATGGCAAAAGAGATTTCCTGCAATATTCCTAAACCCCATCCTCTAATAAAGCGGATGAAACATGCGGATAAAACACATGAGCAATACAGAGACACTGAAAACTAATGGGCAATAATTTATGAAATTTACGCTGGAAAACATGCAAATAATTCTTTTTGAAAAAAAATATTTTAGTTTTGGTTTTTGAAGAGCGTTACTCGATTCCCATTTAGGAATTTAATTTGCAGTTGCCTTTGAAATGAATTTAAAGTCAAACTTACTTTGACTACAGGGCTTCTCTATGAGAAATTAACTCCGCTCAATAAAAAAACACGTAAGAATCGTGCTTTGAAAATCAACTTGTTGCAACTAAAAAACTTGAGGCAAAATAAAAACTAACAAAAACACATCGAATTAAGTTTTTTTTTGTTCTCTTCATTTACAGCTAGGACATTGAGCAGTTAACAGGTGAAGGAAACCCAAACCAGTTGAATTTAACGATCATTTTATAATGTGTAACGACGTAATTATGCTCTTCAACGCCGAAGAGTCAAGATGGTAATAACTGAATACGGCGCTGTGCGTTCGTTGAACAATGTCAGTCGCCTCAAAGTGCCTGTGAAGAGCGGTAGCTCGTCTTCAACGCCGTTTTTTAGCCCCGAATGCTAACACCGTTTTGCAGGTTTTTGGCAAACTGGAATCAGATGAAGCAAGAATTCTTTAGCTGGGTCAACAGAAAAACCGACAGCCTGTAAAAAACCTTTTCAAAACTCCAAGCAAAAAACGTCATTCTTCAAAAAAATAGTTATGATTTATTGACATTGCTTTCGACAAATTCAATAAGAAATAAGCCGATCGTTTCGCAAGAAATACAAAATGTTCTGCGCGTAATCAAACAACACCTTAAATTTGAAGGAAGTATAACAGACCAACCAACTAATTTGTGGTAACCTACCTTGAGAAATTCCACCCCATGACGAGTGATTGCTAGAAAAAAGTACCAAAATGAAAACACTTTTCAATTCGTTGATTAGTTTCAAAACATCAGGCCATTTATAAATTTATTGAACAACAATCAGCAATTTTTTTGCTTCGTTTATAAAACACCTAGCCAACAGATGCTGTGGGCTCAAGAAAACCGAACAATTATTTTGGTTTTGAATCACTTTCAAAAAATTTATGACGTTACAGCTCTTTGAATTTCAAAAATGGTATGTAATTCTTTTTGCTACAAAAAAAGAGCTGAACTTTGCAAACCCCAATAAAAATGGGAACGAGATTAGACACAATCTTCCTGTTACAAAGGAGTAACCGCTTTTGCAGAAAAAATTCGCGCAACCGCTTCTTTCGATTGAAATAGTTACCTCAAATTTGATGGGGTAGTTTATAAGAAATTTCAAAAAAGTTTCTAAAAAACGGACTAAGTTCAAAAACCCGTTTCTGCTAAAACTTTTTTCTGCTAAAAGCAGGTCGTGGCCGGTAAAGAAGAAAATATT